ATATCTTTTATAGTCACAATTGACTTAACAGTGTAGAGAGTGTAAAATTACACCACATTTACTGTGTATCAACATAACATTGCCAGGTATGTCGCATGCACATGTCAGAATCATTTAAGTAATCTGAAAAATAAAACAGAGATGACTGTGTTTGAAGATCTCCAGTTATCAAAATCAAGTGAGGCATAAGCCAGGCAAAGCTAGCCAAAAGTGTCTGCTAAAGTCTTGGAAGATAATCAGTACAGAGTCCATTTAAATGATGAAGCCCTCTAGATGCTTCTGTTTGGGGAAAACATTGTGCTGATTGCATCAAACCCAAGAATAATATGAGATACATAGAACCCAATTGCATAAAGAATGCATGCTGTTCAGAGTATGATATGCAGGTCATTGATCTGCATTATTCATAGATATGAGTTCATCAATACATATATCTGAGGCAGACACAAGGAGCCTGAACTGAACCCAGAGGAGCAAAGCAGACAGGATTGCTTTTAGAGAATTACACTGATGGTAGGCAGGAACATGGTGGGCATGACTAGGCTAGGACATTTTACCAATGAAGGACATCGTCAGAGACATATGACCAGAAAAGGAGGTGGGCAGGTCATGCAGCAAGACCAAAAGATAATCAGTGGATGGGGTATATGCTCCCATTAGTCATTTTAAGAGATCTAAAAGCTTCCAGAATGTTAAGTGTACTCCTAATTCAGGCTCTACAGGAGGTCCTGGAAAAAAGTCATACAGGAACGGATGGGTTACAGATGTACCTTTGGAGGAAGTATTCATATCAATGGGTTCACAGAGCTATCAAAGTATATATGCTTTCCACTTTTTAAAAAAGGCACTGAGAAGCAGTTATTACTATATTCAAAAATGCAGAATGTCGAGGCAAAAAACAGAAACTATGGAATAATAAAAGAATATTGTTTTTTCTAAAGATTCCAAAAGACTTCATATTTTGCTTCATAATTTTTGAAATTAGGAAGTTGTATGTACAACATTATACCTATAACATTGTACAAAAGCACTTTATATTTTACATACATTGGCAGCCTCAATTTATAGATAATAAACTAAGACACAAATTATGCATTATGCCCAGACTCACAGAATATCTGGTGAAGCCAAAAACAAAACCCAGATATCTCAGTCTAGAGCTCTTTTCTTTTTAATGGCAACTCAGAGAAGGAAACAGGTTCACAGGAGCCTTTATTATTTGACATTTGCCAGCATCATTCACTACTCTAAATAGATTTTCTATCAAATTATATGCCATGGCTTTGACTTGATTCTGTAACACTGAACTATGTTACAGCATACCTGAATTGATTTGTCTAGCATGTCCCATCATTTAAAGGAGGCATTGAATAAATGTTTATCAGAGCTGCTCGTAAACTAATTTTTGACACGTCATAGCCACACTGAGGAAGCTAAAATAAACGAGAGGATATAAAGTTGTCTGAAAGCATCCAACAAATATGTTAATGTCCTCTAACTAGTCAAGTCTCAGCCCATTTACTAAACTGCTGGAGAGAAAAAAAGGACAAAGACAACTACTACACTGGTATAGCAGCCAGTTGCTGATAGGATATGATTTCAGGGCACTGGGAAGTACCCCTGCTAAAATAGTGACTTGATGCTGGAAATTCCATAATTAGCAATTCCCTCTATTGTCCTCAATTAAAATTCAAATACCTCCAGGAGAAGCTACACGTGAAGTACTGTATACTAAATAAGAATGCAATGATTGACTCCTTTACTGAAAACAGGTTTTGATGAGGGAAGTGTAAAGGAGTGCTCTGTGCTCTCAGGTGGGGAGAAAGAAGAATCAGAAGGGAAGGAATACGCCAAGAATAGAGGATAATTATCCCGAAAGGAGAGGTTGGGGAGCCGAAGATAAACTTAACTGACTTTACAACATTGCCCAGGGTGGGGCCTGGCAGAGATATTGGAATATCTGTGTTTGGCGAGGAGAAAGATTTTTTTTAATCCCCTCTATATCAAAATGCCCGTTATTCTTTTCCTTGTTTTTAATCAAAACCAAAAAACCCTTCCCTTGTTCACCTTGTTCACCTTCAGGAAAGGAACACTTTCCTGATATAAGGAGTTACTTTAAAAAATAACTATAACTATTTGCCAAAAAGAGAGAAAAACACATGTTGAGAACTCAACATTCTAACCATACCCATGAATCTGTTCTTTGCAGTTTCTCCTTGGGTATTTAATACTTGAAAATAAATTAAGAGACTTTCAAGTCTATTTTAAGTTGAAAAAGTATGAGGTTATTTTAACTTTGTTTTAAGGTTCTGTCTTATAATTTTCATAGCGAATCATTTTTAAGACTTATAGCTATCTAGTAATAGAATGAATATACTATGAGAAGTAATGAATTCCCCAGCATGAGCAATGTGCACAATGATTCCCTGTCAGGGACCTCCTAAAGGGAATTTTCTTGCAGTAAGCAGGAAGTTGGAATATATAACCTATAAGATCCATTCCATTTAAAGATTTAATGATATGCCCAAAAGAATACAGAATTGTTTCTATTTCTACTTAACTTTTTACCATAGATCACTGACATATAATGATATCATATGAATGTGTGATCTATAGTGCTATCTCTCTGTTACAAAATCATCCATTATCATCCTCTTCAACTGTCCTAGAGAAAAGACAAATCTTTGCTCTAACATTTATGGCCAAAGATTTTGTTTCTGAGAGGTTTTTTGGTTTGTTTAGAATAGTTTTTTATTTTTAAACACACTAGAACAAAAGCATAGGGTGGAGTTACAGAGAGGAAGTTAGTGAAAGAAAAGGTTTTTTTTTTTAAATGTTACATATCTATTTACAAAAATAGTTGTATTTTTGCAACTCTAAGAAGAAATCACAGGGGGAAAAAAAACTTCAGGTAGTGGAATGTTCTCAGCTTTCAAATCATGGTTGCTCAGAAACACCTCTCCTGGGGATTCACCCCAAACTTGTTTCCTTAGATGCTTCTAAACCCTCAAGGAATCCAAAAAACAAACAGACAAACAAAAACTAAGTCTCTTATGGCTATTTTGAAAGGTTTTGCCAGGTGTGCTATAATTGTAAATTACCACATCAGCCAGAAATACAATTTATTAAGTTCATCTTGTTGTAAATTACTGTATCATCTAGAAATAAAATTTATTAAATTCAGCCTGCAAGTAATGTAGTATTCTTGATATGATCAAACTTGGGTCCAAAAAAAAAAAGGTCTAAAAAACCCATCTGAGATAAAGTAAGAGGAAAACCTGTCCTTGAACCCTTATAAACACAGATTCATAATAAATAGCACAAGTTCTCAAAAAACAGACTATGGCCCTCAAGAAAATAATTTTGGCCTTTATGCAGATGAAACTTTCTGATAGAGCTGAGAATTAACATGGAAGTTGCAAAAATGTGACATTGCTGGTTGCAGAAGCCCTAATTAATGTTCTCAGATTAAATTTATTAATACTATTTTTTGAAAAACTAAAGCCACACCCTGATTACAAATACCTAAAAAACTATGCATGTATTCGATCAAATGTTAAAAAGTTAATTTGAAGTGATAGAGTTCAATTTTCATTCTGTTCTACTTACTATAAAGTGACTTACTGACAAGTATAATAAAATTATAGTAAAAGTAACAGTTCTGGGTGAAAAAATATGACAACTTGGCCAAAAGTCACAACAAAGTCTTTTAAAAGGAGGTGGTATGCAGTTACCTTTTCACAAGTATAGGCACAAATGGTTTAATCTTTTATGAATTAATTTCAATGAACTTAATGCCTAGAACCAGGATGGTGCTTGAACTCTCCTGAAGTTGTAAGCTAAGCACCTTTGGCAACAATATTAAATCAAACTGCAAGAGTGCTGAAGTGACAGAGAACATTGGAAGCTTCATTAACTCAGCATTTGTGACTCACGTTTTAACTTGTACAATCTAGGCACAGCTAAGATCTTAAGAGTTTTGCTTGCTGCTCTAAAAAATATCCTGTTTTGATTCAATAACCCTGCAAATCCCAGGATACTGTTTGTTGCCATCATTGCTACTAATGTTAACTAAATCCATATAACTTTTAGTTGTACCTGCTTCTCAGGTTTGCTTGAGTGAAAAGAGAAAAAGTAATGAACAAAATTAGTATATAAATCAGTTACCTCCTGGTGGAAAAGACCAGTTTTGTTCTGCTATTTACAGACCATACTTACTTTTTTAAATCATTCATATATGCCTATTTATTGTAAAGTACAGAAGAGATCTATTTGTTTAATTTAAGGACCACTGGTTCTGTTTTGCCCATAAGTGGAAGGGGTTCATTATAATGTATCCTGTGGAGAACAGATATGTAGTTGTAAACTGTAAACAATGAGAAATGTTAGTACTGTGTGGGGAGAGTATAAATAATCCAATCTGGACAGACTGTGTAAAAATTATCATCCTACAGCAGAATACCCATCTCAAAAACCACACCTTCTTTCTAACATAACCAGAGGCCTAAAATCATTAGTATAATTATAAATTATGTGCTTCTCTATAACTTGGGTTACTTTGGCAGTCACTGGGATATGGGACTGAGAAATCCTCTGGTGAAAAGTAGAAAAAGAGTCTTTTTTTAGCACTAGTTAAGAAAATACTTAAGGACAGCTAAGTATTGAAGTGAATAGAGTGCCAGCCCAGAGTCAGAAGATTCCTCTTCATGAGTTCAAATCCAGTCTCAGACATTTACTAGCTGTGTGACCCTGGACAAGTCACTTCACCCTGTATGCCTCAGTTTGCCCATCTCTAAAATGAGCTGAAGAAGGAAATGGCAAACCACTTCAGTATCTTTGCCAAGAAAACCCCAAATAGAGTCACAAAGAGTTGGACATGACTGAAAAAGACTGAAAACAACTCAAAAGAAAGCACTGACCTTAGGATATAATTTTTATCCATTCAACATTAATAGCAAGAACATCAGAAAATGTTTTCATTGAACAAATATTCTTAATACCTGAGCTAGTCCTCCAGCATGAATGAGTGTTATGTCAGGCATCCAAGAACATCCAGGAACCATAAGGCCATAGAGTGCAATCACAAAGAATGGAACCGAATAAAACATATATGCCAGCATCTATATTAAAACACAAACACAGTTGTATTACCACTCACACAGCAGAATGAAAAAACACTGCCCTTGTCATCTGGAGAGATAAATACTTGACCAATCCTGATTTAAAAAGTACAGAATACTGTGCTGTTGAATACTATTATATATTCCTGCTACATAACAACATTTTACCATTTTTCAACTGAAAATTACATGAATACCTCTTTTAGGTTTTGTTAACTATATCACCTGAAGTTTGGGATAAGCAGCAGGATCTCTTATGTAGGGTTCTTGAAACTGTATGTATAGTCGGCAGAGCTCAGCAGGGCAATCCAAAGCAATCTACAGGCAGAAATGATTTTATTATTAAAGGTGTAATTCTGTCCTACTAGTCAAAGTACTGCTGGTTAAGCTAAATTTATTGTATTTAAGTCATAAACTACTCAGCTATTATAAGAAACTTAGAACTCAGATACTCAATAGCAAGGAATGAAAAAAGAAAATTTTCTATAAAGATATATTTGAATTTATTCTAAGGAGAGTATAAGTATGTTAATGGCTGAGTGGGAAATGAAACAACACTTAGCTTCCAGGAATCTTTTTAAAATACTGCCAAACCAAAGTATACATTACAAACAACAACAACAACAAGGGGCAGCTAGGTGGCCCAGTGGATAGAGCACTGGCCCTGAAGCCAGGAGGACCTGAGTTTAAATCTGGCCTCAGAACAAACACTTGACACTTACTAGCTGTGTGACCCTGGGCAAGTCACTTAACCCCAGTTGCCTAAAAAAACAAAAACAAAACTCTCCTTTTGTGTGCAGAGACCACAGTTTGAACTCAGTTTGAACAATTTTCTGAGGAAGATCAATTAATCAATAAATATTTATTAAGCACTTACTAAGTGCCAGCCACTGTGCTAAGCACTGGTATTACAAAAAGAGGCAAAAGATAGTCCTTGTCCTCAAGATGCTTACAATCTAATGGGGGATACAACATGCAAATAAATATATACAGAGCAAGCTATATACAGGAAAATAGCAAATAATCAACAGATGGAAGGCACTAGAATTAAGAGGGATTGGGGAAGGCTTCCTGTAGGAGGTAGAATTTTAGTTGAGACTTAAAGGAAGCCAAAGATGTCAGTTCTCAGAGCAAAGAAGAGAAAGCATTCCAGGCAAGGAGAACAGCCAGAGAAAATTTCTGAATCGGAGAGATGGAGGGTCTTGTTCATGAAACAGCCAGGAGGCCAGTGTCACTGGATATCTGTCTCTCATAAGAAAGAGTGAATTTCTAATCTCCACTTATTTTACTGCCTTTTTCCAATAACCAAAAAGATCACCTTTTTCATTCTATGGGCTTAGAGAATTTGAGCTTTTTTGGGGGGGGGGGTGCTGTAGTAAAGGAACATTATGAAAGTAATATCTATATTCTGTCTTCGATCTATGAATTTAAAAAGAGCAGAGCCAGCCACAATTGAATCAAGCAGGATAGGCACTAGGCTGTGAAGTCGGCAATTTATATTTGGGATTCTTCCACTGGCCTCTTCATTGCTTTTCTACCTACTCTCTAGCACAAATTCTGTGATCCAATTTCCTAGGGCTTTGCTCTCAGCTAATTAGGTCTAAGATGGTAGCTGATAATATTTCAAGATTTCACCCCTATCCAAAGGTATTTGTATTTTAGTAGGGGGCCATTTAAGTGTTTAACATTCAAAGGAATTGATTGATGCCTTACTCAACTGCAGTTGCCTCCCCTGCCCCAAGCCCAGCTCTCCACAGCCATAGCCAACCCCATCTTGTGCTTCAACTTCGCTGTCAATAACAAACTCTCGGGTTATGTAACCGTTGAGCTATTTGTCGATGATGTTTCAAAGACAGCAGAAAACCCCAGTGCTCAGATTACTGGAGAGAAGGAATTTGGTCACAAGGGATTTGGCTTTCACAGAATCATTCCTTGGTTTATGTGCCAGGTTGTTAACCTCATCTACCATAATGACACTGTTAGCAAAGCCTATGAGGAGAAATTTGCTGAGACCTTCATTCTAAACCACACTGTCCTGACATCTAAATAGCTCCTGGTTTTCCATCTGTATGGCTAAGACTGAATAGATGGTCTTTGGCCAGCTCAAAGAAAGCATGAACATTATGGAAGCCATGGAATACTTCAGATCCCAGGAAGGCAAGAGAAGCAAATAGATCACCATTGCTGACTATGGTTATGAATTCTCATAAGTTCTTTGGTTTGGTTTGGTTTGTTTTTTTCTTAATCACCAAACCATACTTTCTGAAGCAAGGAAAAAATACCTTTCTTTTTCCCCACCTCTAGTCTGCTCTCATGCCCTGAAATCCTTGTGCTCTCACTGGCTGCAATTCATTCTGCCTGAGTTTCATTTCCCTTTTCCTTACACAGGTCTAGCTAGAATGCAGAGTTAAGTTAATCATTAGGAAATAAAAACTAAACCATAGAAAAAGGATTTAAAGCAATTAATCTCTTAATTTGAGGTAATAAAAAGAGATCAAGAATCTACTTTGGGTAGTAAACTTGCCTGGTGCCCCTCAAACAACACCTTCTTCCTTATTCAACCTACCCCCAGAGGTAATTGCCCCACAAATCTTCCCAGAACAAAAGCATCTTTCAGTAGATGGTGGGCCTCAAAAAAGTTCCAGGGTTCCAATAAGAAGTAAGTTTTTATAATATGTATAAAATTATGGTGCAAATGTCCTCATTTTTATTTTAAAGCATAAATATTAAAATTTAGGGTTAGTATCTTATTGAGATCTTTCATGCTTACCAAACCTCTAAATATGCAAAATCCTGTTGCTAAGATGAGATACGTAACAAAGATCAAATCAAATGGTCTTCTTAACAATCCCTTCTTCTGGGCTTCTTGAACAACCTAAAATACAGCATGTAATTAAAGAATAGGCCTCAAAAGAGCCAAAGAAGAGAACAAATCTGCTATATTGTCATTGTTGAAAGGACCTCAAAAAGAAGATTTTAAGAATCATGCAAACTACAAACTAGCTCTGAACCAGTTACATCATCTTTTTTGTTGTAAAATAAGGAAGTTGGATTGAAAGGTTCCTTCTAGCTTAAAAACATCATGGTTCCCAATGCATCTACCAACCAGCTTTTACACAGTAGTTATCAATAGATAGCTATCAATATATATGCATGTGTGTTCATCTATGTCTGTGTATGTATGTATATATGTATATCTATATTGTTATCAATCCGGTACAAACTATACTGTTATAATCACATTTGAAGAATTTCCCATAGATCATTCTTTTGCAAAGTGAATAATCATCTCCCTAGGAATCATTTTTCAAAATAAATTTATATTTTAGGGAAGCTAGGTGGTGCAGTAGATAGAGCACTGGCCCTGGAGTCAGGAGGATTTGAGTTCAGATCTGGCCTCAGATACTTACTAGCTGTGTGATCCTGTACAAGTCATTTAACTATGATTGCCTCTCCCCACAAAAAAATAAATAAAAAATAAATTTATATTTTATAACTTAGTCTTTTTTAACTATACTTATATCTGTAGGAGGAAATTAAAGGGAAGATTTTTAGAAAAAAAGAACATAATTTGTTTTGCAGTTGAAACCATAGGAGGATACCTGAAAGGTCAATCTTGACCACTTTTATTTGGGATGGATGTTAAGTAACTAGTTCTTTTGATCTGGAACCCACTGCCTCTATGGCAATCCAGTTTACCCTGACCATTCTGCCTTACAAGTTGCCTTGACCATTTAAACCTTTCAACTTTCTCCATCACAACAACTTGGAAGTATATTCATGCTGAAAAGATCTCATTTTTTCCAATTATGGGAGAAGGGATATGACTCTATTGAATCAGACCTCTCCCTGTTCTCCTCTCTTTGGGGGAAGATCTTGAGATTTGGGATTATCTGATATTCACATATCTTTGTCTGATACTGATTCCTATCAATCCAGATAAAAGGTTGTATTTGTGTTTCAGCCCATTCAGATAATCCTTTGATGCATTATAGGTAATGCATAATATAACCACCTAGAAACCTGGATTAATGTAATTATTACACGAAAGAGTACCTTAAGCTCAAGAGAGTCTATTTAATCAAAAATTGTGGATACTGCTTATACCTTGAGGCAGCAGTGGTGTGTGAACCTAGATAAACACTAGGCTGAACAAGAGCAAATGAACAAGGGCAAAAGAATTTAGCCAGACATTGGGTGAATAAATGAAGATTCAGAACTTTCATATCATTAAGCAAACCCAAATAGCCCCTGCTATATTAAATGCAGAAAGAGGATGAACATTAAGAACAAATGTAATCACACATGCATGATTCATCAAAGACTATGTCCAAGTCAAAATGAACCAAATTAGACGGAGTCTAAATGTCTTGGTCATCTTAACAATTCTCATAAACCCAAAATCGTACAGTTCATCTATGGTGATTAAATACACAACTGAAAAATGTTTTGATCCAGAATAGCTCAAGCTAATTTCATGGCTCCATGTAGTTGAAACCCATGAATTAATAGTGAGCTGTTTAAATGTGAAATGATCACCTTTGAAGGGTAGCTGTATGTTTCTACTGGCTGGCTATAGATCCTGAAACCAGCCCATATGGGAAGACAAATGTATGGCAGGCTTAAGAAAATGGCAGGACAAATTCTTGTTCCATACTTTCCTGTTTAAAAAAAAATTAGAGACAGAGAATGAGAAATTATGACAAATGCATTAAAAACATATTCCCCTATTACATGTTTTTGAAATTTAAACACTCGTACAAGTTCTATCTAACTTATTACTATAGCAAAAGTAATATGAAGACCCTGATTCACCAAAATGGCAAACAGTATTTTCATTTAAAAGATAAGTTTTGAGTGACTGAAATATTCACTGAGTTGGATACAATTCAAAATAAAGATACAAACATGAAAAATGTTTTATTAACACAAATAGGTAAATACCTTCTTAAGCTTAAAATTGAGAGAATTAACAATTTTGCCCTGTTTTGGGAACATATGGAAAAGAAATTACATGCCTGCTAAATAACTAGAAAATTATTAGTAGCAGATCATCTATCAGACATCTTAAAAAATTGTTCAAAAGTAGTTTTAAGGAACAAATTATGAAAGAGAGAAAGAGGACTTACATTATAAGACAATTTGGCTATAAAATAAGATCCATTTAATTCTACTACTAAAGTAAGAACTACAAAATAATTTACATTCTCAAAAACAAAGAACTGAAACTTAAGATGACGTTCCTTACCTACAACGTTTCCAGGAAGAAAGACAACGACGCTCATGGTAATAGAGCCCACCCAGTACAAGCCAATCGATCTGTAATTTTCCCTGCAACAGAAATGCTTCATTTAATCCACCAGTTCCAGAAAGCTACTGATAAGAAATTTCTGAGCATTATCAATGTCTTCCATTTTAATTCTGGTTAGTAAATTACATAAACTGAGGCCTGCTACATCCAATCTGGTAAATCAAACATAATGGAACATTACTGCTAAGATTCCATTTCAGTCCACAGCATGCAATGGTAGGGACTTGGTCCCCTTTCGAATGATAAAATAAAGCAGATGAAAACAAAGCAGTTTTATTTATATCATCAAACTGATTTAGTTTACAAATCACAAAAACAGAAGAGCCAACACAGTGGAATAGATTGAGAGCTGGCCTAAAAGTTAGGCTGACCTGGGCTCAGGTCCTCCCCTGGCACTCATGACCTTCATGACTGAGATGGGTTAAGTCATTTAAACTCTCAGAGCCTCAAGCCAGCACTGTAAGATTACAAGATGCAGTAGAGTTGCTGAAGGGCAGGAATTTTCACACCTGAAGCACCCTCCATTAATGAAATCACAAGTCTGCATGGAAATATAAGTGAATAAAGCCTAGCTTTCCCTTAAAAGAATGGACAGAGGAGAAAAGAAATGAGATCTTGACTTTTAAAATCTAATTCTGTGCATATACTTTTTATATTCCATTTGTTTAAGCAAGGGCAGCTAACTGGCACAATGGAAGATGTGAGTTCACCAGGTGACCTTGGGCAAGTCAGTTAGCCTCTGTTTTCCTCAGTTTCATCATCTGTAAAATGGGGATAATAATAGCACCTATATTCCAGGGTTATAGAGGATAAAATGAGATAACATTTGTAAAGTGTTTTGCATACCTTAAGGCACTATACAAATGCTGACTATTATCATAAGCAAATGTATGTATATTTATTTCTTTTGCAGATGACAAATACCAAAGTCAGAACAGAATAAGCACATATATGAAAAGACTTACTCAAACACATATATGAACAGACTTACTCCCATGCTATTGCTGCCACCATAACAAGATACATCATATAATGAGCAGAACCATCCCAATAACAGATCACATGCCCATAGGCAGTGTTCAGATATGGTTCACCCTAAGGAAAATGGGAAAAAAAAGTCAATTTCAAAACTGAATTCAACATTGATATGTAACAGTTCATCATCATGTACAATTAGTGAGTTAAAATTTCACTAACTAAAAATGTGTTTTGTTTTACATATATGTACTATAGGATTAAGAATTTATCTTACCAACATTTATTGTAATAAAATTTATTATAACACAGTTTGGGGATGTATGTGGGAAATATGGTCAACTACATATACATTCTCTCTATCTCTATCTCTTTCATCCTTCTTGTCCCCTCTCCTTCTCCCTCCCAAAAATTTAACAACTTACTTTTGAGCAACTAGAATGGGATTCTGTCATGGACTCATCTAATACTAGACTACAGAACTGTTACTTTATAAACATGCTTATATTACACAATTCTACTTATACTACTTCAATTCTAGTTTCCATGATGATCATTAGGGACAATATAACTATAGCAGTACTGATCCCACAGTAAAACATTGTTGCCAAGACAAAACTGGTGGAAATGCCAGTTAAATAAATCCGTTTACAACTTAAAAAAAAAAGATGCTTCAGTGTAGAACAGGACCAGAGCCCTATCACCACAGCTGATACTTCTTTCTAATCACTGACGTCCCAACAGGGAATCTAAGCCAAGATCTATTCCTTCTTCACTGGTGATTCTGTGAAATCTACACATCATTCAAGTGCATTCCCCGCCATCTCTACTAATATACACAAAATCATTAAAATCCATTAAAAATCAATCACAGAAAATCACAAAACAAAAACAGTAACTGTATGTAGCCATCCAATCAGAATCAATAGGACATTTGCTAGCACTTATAAACAAAGTACATTTTATAAAAATATGTATAAATGAATAGCATGTTCAAAAGATGGTGTTTCTCAATGAGATCTGGATTTCACCATCACATATTAAAATATAGGAATGAGAGCCCTGACCAGGGATAGAACATACCTTAAAAAGGATGATAAGATTGTATTTGCTTGGAATCTTGAAAAATTCATCGAAAGGGTTTTAAACTGGAAAGGAAGGGGGGAGAGGGAGCTACCTGTATATATCTTTCAAGGTAGATAACATAGAGAATTGCTATAATATGGTCAGAAGAATAAAAGTAAACATATCCTGGAGAACAGCAGTCACCCCGCAGTTCACAGCAAACAAAATCCAAAAATGGAGCTATGGCATTAGATACTTATAAAAAATGCATAAAGTATGGATAACAGTCAAAATGAATAGAGATACTACTTAAAGGAAGCAAATTTGGTCAAATAGATATATTACTGAGTTATTATAAGACCCATAACTGCAATATGTCTCTAAAAAGGTATATATCTTATTCAAAAGAAATAAGATGAGTAAAATGATGGTGGTGGTATGTGTGAAGTGAGAGAAAGGGGTGCGCAGGTATTGAGACAAAGTTGCATTTTATATTAAGAAAATATACTTATAGGAAGAAGTCCAAGAAACAGAGTAGGGGAAACATAGTAGAAAGTATTTGTGGTAACATCAAAGGAGGCAGAAACAAGTGATATTTTTACTGAAGTATACTAGAGACCAACTGGACAGAAAGAAAAAATAGATGAGGAGTCTGGAAAACAAACCACAAGCCAGGCATAGAGGAATGGTAACTGGTAATAAGAGACTTAACTTATCTGGAAACTTCTGAGGCTTTCTTGGCAAAAAGCAGAGCAGCTAATAATTTCTTGATTTGCCTTAATAATAATTTCATCCTTCAAGAAGCAGAAGAACCAACAAGGGGGAATTCTATTTAGGATATGATTTTCATGAACACAGAAGAATTGGTTGCTGGGGTGAAAAATGACAGGAACCTTGGGGAAAAAAATGACATTCTTTCTTAGATCTTATGATAGAGGAGAGGAAAACTAGGAATAGTCTAGGAATAGAGTGACAAGTGCTCTAGATTCTGAGAAAGGACATTTCAAAGAGTTTGGAGAAAGCAAAGGTAGACCCTACACTAAAATTCAACGGGGGAAGTAAACTCCAAAGTGATAGAAAGCTCTCAAGAATGAAATAATGAAAAACAGATACAATTTTGATGAGGAGGAAAACAAGTGAATGATCCAAAGAGACTTCAGTTGATATACAGGAACTTGTTAAACAACTTAGATTTTTAAAAGACTTGTACAAAAGATGGAAGCAAGGACAGGTAACACTGGATGAAGGTGATCAGAAAAGGGAGAGTATTAGCAGCTGGAGGAACAGAAAGGGCCTTCTGCAGAAGGCAGGATCTGAGCTGAGTGTGGAAGGAAGCCAGGAGAACTAGGAGGTGGAGATAAGCTGACAGAGGCTTGGGGCAGAACCCAGTGCAAAGGAGATAGTCGTGTAGACTAGATGGATGAAGAATCCAAGTAGACTAGAATTGCTAGCTCATAGAGTGCATGGAGGAGAATGGAGGGTAAGAAGACCAGAAATTTAGGAAGGGGCCAGACTATGAAGCTTTAAATGTTAAACAGGATTTTTTTATGCTTTTACAAACTGATTTACCTCAGATACGTAGCAAGAAGAAACCCTATAAACATTTCTCAAAAAAAGCCTTGGGGAGAAGGGAAAGGCATACTCTCCCTGACACAATGTCAGTCTCTGAGAGAGTAGGTTCAAAAATTAGCAGAGTTCCTACATAGCATTGGTTCCACCAAGTTCACATCCAGATGTAGCATGACTTTCAGATGAGTCCTTGTCCAGATGTGGCATGACTTCCAGATGAATCCTAATCCCAGCTTCCATGGGCCTTGCTCCAACAGGCCATTCCCAAAGGCCACTTCTTGCTCCTCAGGGCATTGATGCTGAGCTGACTTTGAAACCTGACTAGGACAATGAAGCACTCACAAAGTCTCAGAGGCTCCGACCTCCTTCACCTTTCTATCTGGAATTGAGAAGCAAGCTTCATGGCAAATCCTCTGGAATTGTGTTTAGTTGTATTGGTCATATTTCCTCAGAGTTGTTTGTCTTTACAATATTGTTGTTATCATATACATTTTTCTCCTGGTTCTACTCACTTCATTTCGCATCATTCATGTCTTCCTAGAAAACAAAGGACTTTATATTTGAGTCTAGAGATAATAGGAAGCCCAGAAGCTCACTGAGCAGAGGGCCATCAGGCCTACACTTTAGGAAAATCACCTTGGCAGATAAGTAGAGGACAGACCTGAGTGGAGAGAGATTTGATGCCAGGAGACTAGTCATAGGTCATTGCAGTAGTGTATGTGTAAAGCAATAAGTGCCTGAATTAGGACTATGTTTTATGAACAAAGAGAAGAGGACATATAGTTAAGGTGTTACAAAGATATAAATGAGATGGCAACAAATCGGGTATGTTGAGTGAATGAGGAGTCAAGCATGACAATGAAGTTATCTGGCAGGTTGACTAGGAAGATGGTGGTTCCCTCAAAAGTAATAAGGAAGTTCAGAAGAGGAGAGGATTTATTGGGGAAAGATAATAAACTCTGCTTTGTACATGTTGCATTTAAATACCTATGAGACATTCAGTTGGAAATGTCTAACAGGTAGTTGGTGATAAATGACTATAGTGCAGAAGAAAGACAAGGGCTGGATATATAGTCAATGATCAAAAAACATTTGTTAAGTGCTTACTATGTGCGAGGTACTGTGTTAAGAGATGAGAATACTTAAGAGAAAAAAAAAGACAGACTCTGCCCTCTAGGAGCTTGCAATCTAGTGGAGGAAGACAATATACAAAAGGAAGCTGAAAAGGGGAGTGGGAACCTCAAAGGCATGATGTTTCTGGGGTCAAAACCAAGCAAGGCAACTGGTGGAAAATGAAGAGTATAGAGGTAAAGTTCTAGGCTCTCTCCTACAGGAGTTTATTGCTCTGTCCTCCAATCAGAGGGGATAAGCAGCTGAGGGTGCAGAGAAGGTGTTGACTATCGAAGCCAGATTAATCTCCATGACAACCAAGCAGAGCAGCTGATGAAGAGTGGATCTGGGAATTCTCTGCATAGGGATAATAAGTGAACCCATGGTAACTGATGAGATCATGCAGTATGACAGTATAAAGCAAAAAGACAAAAGGGTCCGGGACAGAGCCTTGGGAGATATCCATGGTTACTAGGCTTTATATGGATGAAGAACCAGCAAAGCAGACTAAGGAACAGTCAGATCAAGAGAGGATCAGAAGACAATAGTGTCACAAAAATTTGGAGAGGAGAGTTTATCCAGATGAGCAAGATCAGGACTGCAGAGATGTTAAGAAGGATGAGAGAAAACCATTCACTTAGGCAATCAAGAGATCACTGGTAACTTTGGAAAAAGTGGTGTAATTGAATGATGAGATCAGAATCCAGCCCTTGGAGGACTGAGAAGAGAGTGAGAGGAAAGGAAGTAGAGGATAATCATTCCAGTCTGTGGAGGTCCAGTTCCTTTCAACAAACTTTATCATGTCCTGTTACATACACAACACTACATCAGGTGCTGGGGCTACAAAGGCAAAGACAAAATCAAGCCCCTAAATTTGAGTATCTTAGGGGAACTGGCTGGGGAGCCTGCTTCCAAATAGGCATAATGATGGGTAATGGAGAGGCCAGCTCCCCAGTCTGGAGCATTTTCAGACATTCTGTACCTGATTCTAGTCTGCCAGCCACATAATGAAGTTACCTTTTTAAATTGGCTGCTTCCCTCAAATTGAGGTGCATTCAAAAGGCAGCAGTTAGCCAGAGCTTTGACCTTGGTTTGGCTTTTTCCTGCCTTGCATGTTCAAGTGAGAAGACAAGGACTAAGCCTTCAGTGGTGAGAGAGGCCTTAGGTTTTTTTCGGTTTTTGTTTTTCCCCATTCAGGCCACCATGATGTGGCCCAGGAACACACAAACCTGCCATTGCTTCTGTTATTATCACTGTTGTATCCATTCTTCCTGCTGGTGAAGGAGCTGGGAGATGGCCATGACTTTTTGATCTTTGAAAGGTCAAGAGAACAAGCCACAAGGGTGGCCATCCATGGTGGATTTTGCAGCCAGGCAATTCAACATCAGGGCCCTGTGGCATGCCCTTTTGAACTCAGACCAGCAGTATCGAGACTAGGAATCGTTCAGTGGCCATGCCATATTTGGACATGAACTTTTAGGACCAATGCTATGTAGAAAACTACAGTTAAGTCTGAGCCAGCACTCCCTATGAACTATGAAGAATATCCCCAAGAGTTAAGAGGAAATATTTTTGCTTTGTATTTGCTTCATTGAAGTAAATGCCCCTTTGTAAAATCTAATTGATGCTAACTGGTAAAATGGAACTGGCATGATAATTACTGGCAGCTAGCTAACAGTGGGAGAAAGAACAGAAGCAGCTGGAGCCTGGAAAAACAATTCAAAGAAAAATGAACAAGCAGAGAGGGTGGAAACAGCTAGGGAGACATCTCCAGTATGTGCTAGAATTTTCCTGAGTCTTCTCAGGTTTGGTTCTAGTTGTTCTTCACATCCTCCTTTCCTGAATTCTCTGAGAACTCTAAAAATTAGCAGGTAAACAACTATTTGTCTTGGGTAGTGTAAGCTTCCACCTGTGCATGCAGGTCCAACAGGGAGCTGGAACAGGTGACCTTTTCCAGGTGACCATCATCATAATCAGCCATTTATAAGCATGTCTTTAAGCACTTTCTATTGGCATTTTAAAGCACTGTTAGGTGCTGTAATAGGTGCTATCTAAATGAAACTAGATTAAACTTTTATTCCTAAGAAAGTGAAGTATGTAGATAGATGAGTTATTAATGATAAAGAGGCAAATAAACATTGAATAAATACATAAAATTAACATAATTACATTAATTGCAAAGAAGCATTTAGTGATATTGGAAAGTGAAGATGGAGTCTTGGGAATTGAATGTTGAGAGGAATTACCACTTATTTTTTAATCCTAACTCCTTGATTTTGCTCATAGAAATTGCCCATGGCAGTCACCTAAAATATGTTATTGCATATTCACTTATCTATGGTAGGATATTTGTGACAGGTGTTTCTGGTCATATATTTTTAATATACCAGAGAAAAGATTTAAGTTTATCAAACATAAAAGGATTACTTACCTCTTTCAAGTAATATGTCATGAATCCATCAATTATACCATCTTGTTCAAGTCCTATAATAAGGTTCACTACACTGGTAAAAGCAAACACTGCATAAACTAAAGAAATAAAAACAGTGATTAAAAACACTCAGAATATCACTGGATTAGTATTGTCCAGTAAAAATAGAATAATCCAAAGGGATTATCACTAAGACACTATGGAAAGCATTGACATAGGCCAATGGAATATTGCACATTAAAACAAAAATAAAGCACATGTGAATATAGCATTGCATAGGAATTCAGTCATCCAGAAACCGCATCCGTAACCAAGTCAAAAGAAAGGCAGCTAAACCCCTCCCCCCAAAAAATGTTTTCTTAGGAGTCAAAATACTGTTAAGGTCAATGCATTCAAACCCATTGCTAAATTAACACTTGTCTAATTCCCTAGTTCACTGCCAAAAATAATTAACATATTTTTAAGTTATTTGTGGCTAGTAAGTGTTGGTTAATTGAAGTGGGCATAAGAATTTCAATAAGATACACCACAAAGTTATTGTTTTGCCTCATCAGGACTCAACTAAGTAATCTTTCCCTAATCCATAGCATCATAAATTTAGAGCTGGAGGGGACCTGAGAGGCCACCCATTCCAACCCAATCCCTCATTTTACAGATAAGGAAAATAAGACCCAGATACATTGAGTAACTTACCCAAGTTCACGGAGGGATAGTAATTAACAGAGCCAGTATCTGGAGCCAGGTATTTTAACTTCAAATGCAACAACTCTCTAACCACTGTCTCTTTTTAATCCCTCCTCTTGTCTTAAAGTAATGCTCACTTGATGTGACAAGTATACCTCAGGAAACTTAATGACTGCATCCTGGGCAAAATACCAAATCACAAATATTGAATGACTGCTTGTGTAAAAGTTATTACCCATACTTCTCCTCATTAAAATGTTTGCCAACATTTCTGCTTACATGAGTATTTCCTGCATATATACAGCGGACTGGCTATCAATGTTATCTTTAGGATCTTTACTATTGTACCACACTCCTTGGGGCTTGTCCTCCAACTCCTACTCACATAGTCAGGTTGGGTCTCCTGAAAGCAAACTCTTTCTCCTCTCAGGGTTCTAGAGGTAACTCTGAAGGGTTGGGAATGGTTTCTAATAACTTTGTGTCATACAGTGTGCCAATGAATATAAATTAACTAGCTGAAATAAATTAGCCAGCCAGAGTTAATTAGCAGGTATCAGAGCATAGAGTACCTTGTTAGTTACATTAATTGGGGTTGAGGGGTATGGGTCACCTCTCTTATGCTGTTCTCTCCTGTTTAATATTTGTTGTCCTCAACAAATCAACTTGAGTATTTTTGGCAAAGTCCATAGTCCTAAATCTTGTACAGCTCTCTAGTGACATGGAGAAGTTCCAACATTATCCTTTTTTAATATCATCCCCAGTACATAGAATTAAGGAGTTTTGGGGAAAGTACATGTGGCACAGTTCTTTAAAAAATATGGAAATTAATATTTTTTCATATTTCTAAATACACAGTAATGCAATTTAACAAACATCATTTTAAATGAAGACATATATAGTATGCTTATCAAATTTATATATAACATGAAACTAGAAGGGAACACACTAGATGACAGTCCAAAAAGATCTTTATAGTTTAATCTGATGAACCGAATCAAATAATATAATAATAATAGCTAATATTTATATAATGTTTTAAGACTTGCGAAGCACTTTACATAAGTCATCTCATTTGATCTTAACAACCCTGGGAGGTAGGTGCTATTATTATCCCCATTTGACAGATGAGGAAACTGAGGCAGACAGGGTAAGCCACTTATGAAGGGTCATCCAACTAGTGTCTGAGGCAGAATTTGAACAGAGATCTTCCTGTGTTCTAGCACTCTACATATTAAATCACTAGCTACGTAGGAACTAAAAACTTTTGATTTAGTTTAATAGTGATAATGTAGTTGCAGACTTGTATGCAAAAAATCAAATGGCACAAATATAGTACAGGAGAGACAGTAAGAGACATTAATTAAAAAGACCTAAAAGAACCACCAAAAAAGCAGATATAGCACACACAAAAAAGAACAAACATAGCTTGAAAGAAGAGATATGAGAAGACAGCCCCACACCATCTGTTTACAGAGGCAGGAGGTCTACTATTGTTGTATGCTGTATGTATTTTCCCTTTTTGTCTTTAAAAAATACTATTTGTTATGTAAGATGGCTCTCTGGGAGAGATACTGAGAAAAGAAATGAAATTATGATGATATCAAAAGGCAATAAAAGTTCATTTAAACAAAAACAAAACAAAAAACAAACAAAAAAAAAAGACTTAAGCATCTTAGTGGAGTGAAATCTTAACATCATGGAAAAGGTGTGTGACTTGGCAACCAAAATTGCTAATACAACTTTGAGTCTTAGAAGACTGTTGTCCAGGGGGCAGCTAGGTGGTACAGTGGATACAGCACCAGTCCTGGATTCAGGAGGACCTGAGTTCAAATGTGACCTCAGACACTTGACACTTACTACCTGTGTAGTAAGTCAAGTCACTTAACCCCAGTGCCTAACCAAAAAGAAAAAAAGAAAAGAAAGAAGAAGACTGGTGTCCAGAAAAAAAGGAGGCGATAGTCCCAAAATACCATACTCCACTCAGACCATATCTGCAGCATTATATTCAGTTCTGGGGACTGCAGTTAAAGAAAGATGTTGATATATTGAAGCTTATCCAAAGGAAGTGACCAGTATTGTGAAAGAACTAGAAATGATACCATATAAGAATAAGATGAAGGAACAGGAAATGTTTACCTTGAAGAAGAGGAGACTTGGGGGTACCTCATCAATTCTCATCAGGGTCATTATTATCCCTAAGTAAATGATTCACAGACCTCTTCAGGCATCAGTCTATTTCCTAAGCTCCAGTCCCACATCAACAACTGTCTATTGGACATTTCCAACCAGATATCTTGAAGACATCACAAACTCACCATGTCGAAAATAGATTTCATCATCTTCCTTCCAAACCCACCTCTCTTTGAAATTTCCTTATTTCTATCAAGGCTGTAATATTTCTAGTCTCTCAGTTTTATTACTTTGGTGTTTTCTTTGAGTCCTGATGCTCTCTCACTCCGTAAGTCCAATCAGCTACCAAATCTTGCCATTTCTACCTCTGCAACAAGTTTGGCATCAGTACCCTTCTCACTACTCACAAGGCCACCCCATTAATGCAGATCCTCAGTCATCTCTCTCTGGACTGTTGCAACTGGACCTGTTTTGGTGGGGCCCAGAGCGTAGAGCTGGGTGCAAGTTGCAAAGGGGAAGAGTTAGCTCTCCAATGGGGGAAAACTGTAACAATTAGAGCTGTCCCTAAATGGAATGGCTGACATGAGAGGTAATCAGCTCCCATCACTCAAAGTCTTCAGAAGCAGAGGCTGGATGACCACTTGTCAGGATTTTGTGGAGGGGATTCCTGCTCAGATACAGCTTAGACTAGATAACTTGTAAAATTTCTTGAGGATTGTAGTTTAATGCTACCAGTTCAGTTGTTATTAACCTTTTGAATGTCATGGTCTTTACACACCCCACATCCCTTTTTGGCAGTCTATGAACTCCTTCTCAAAATAATGTGTTTAAATGCATAAAACAAAATACATAGGATTCCAAAGGATATCAATTATATTGAAATGCAGTTATCAAAGTAAAAAAAAAAAAAGTTCATGGGGGCAGCTAGGTGGCACAGTGAGGTACAGCACCAACCCTGAAGTCAGGAGGACCTGAGTTCAAATCCAACTTCAGACACTTACTAGCTGTGTGACCCTAGACAAGTCACTTAACCCTGATTGCCTTCCCTCAAAAAAATAATTAAAAAATACACGGACCTCAGTTTAAGAGCCCTTGTTTGATCACAAGTTTGAAATGGCATTGTGATGTAGTGTGATAGGAAGCTAACCTCAAAACCAGGATCACCTGAGTTCAAGTTCCCTTTCTGATACATGCTTTCTCTGTGACACTGGGCCAACTACTTAACCTCTCTGTTTTCTAGGAAACTCTCTATGACTATAGGCTGCAGATTTAAACCGTATTCCTATCATAAGGTCAGACAGCTAAGTAAATGGAGGAGTTGGGAATCAAAATCAGGTCCTCTGATTCCAAGTCCAGTGTTCCAGTATTTTGTTAAAACATGGAATCTTGAAAAAAAAAACCCTAAAAGCTAAATCTCCACCAAAGGGGGGAAAATTGCATCCCTATAGTCTGAAATCAGATAGCATGATCGAGTATAAAGAATATTTCATTAGAAATCAATAAAATGTTGGTTCTGGGCCCAGCTCTACCACGCATTCATTAGGTAACTTTGGTCACAGAATCTCACTGGGCCTCACTTTCTTGTCGGGAAAATGAAGGGGGTAGACTGGATGCCTTCTAATATTCTTTGAACTTGAAAGCAGAAAACTTGAGAAATAATTGGGAAACTGCAAGTCATTAGGTCAAAATAATATTAGCTAGAATACTATTGTGCTATAAGAAATGAGAAGGAGAATGGTTTCAGAAAAATCTGGGACTGTGATGAATATGAACTGATACAAAGTGAAGTGAAAAGAACTAGATCATTGTATATAGTAACAGCAACATTGTAATGATGATCAACTGTGAAAGACTTAGCTACTCTGATCAATACAATGATCCAAGACTATTCTGAAGGACTCATGATGAAAAGTGTTATCCTCCTCCAGAGAGAGAAATGATGTACTCTGAGTGCAAATTTTCTCACTTTCTTTATTTTTCTTGCTTTTTTGTAACATGGTTAATGTGAAAATATGTTTTGTATGATTTTGAAATTATAGCTGAAATCATACTGCTTGCCCTCTCAATGGATGGGGGATGGGGCTAGAGGGAGGGAGATAATTTGGAACGAATTTTCTTAAATAAATAAATTTTTAAAAAAAGAAAAAAATAATAAATGATTAATTAAATGATTTAGGAAACCATTTAAGATATATATTTGCACAATTACCTAAATCTACTTACTTTAACAAATACCCTCTGGCTGCCTTAAAGTAATCAACATATAGAATATTGAATGGGCACCCCATCGATAACTATGAAATTTCCTATGATCATGGCAGATGTTCATATCTTTCTGATGTTTGCTAAAACATGTCCATCTAAATTTTAAGTGATGTGAAAAATTCTTTACAAGCCACTGAGAAATATAAGTTTGGCAGAAGGGAAAGTTCCCAACCAACCTTATGTCCAGTATTTTCTATCCCATCGATACCTACCATAAAACAGAGGATCTCGAGGTGGTTTTCTCTTCACAAGGGCCCGAGCCAACAAAGCTACAAAGAGTAGAACCAGTACTCCAGCAGCTACAATTGTCCAGGAACTGTAAAAATTAAAACATGGAAGCTGAGTCACTATCAAAGTAAACATTCTAATGCTGGGAATTTCCTAGTTAGTTGAATACATTCTCTCAAATACTGCTGTTCCGTTATTTGCTTAATATGGAACTCCTAGGTATGGCATACTTTACCATGAAGGTCAGTCTTTGGCACAACTGTTGGTTGGTGATAATACCTAAAAACCTCTGCCTGGCTTAGTAATAAGTGATTCTATTTAGAGAGTGCTTTATAGTTACAATAGACTTCTACATACATTATTTCATCTGATCCTTATGATAATCCTGTGAAGTTGTACTTGCTCACATTCATATAGCATAACGCATGCAGGGATTGCAAATCACTTTACATAGGAACATAGATATATAAGGGACCACAGAGGTCATCTAGCTCAACTCCCTCATTTTACAGATGAACATAAGTGACTTGCCCAAGGCCACATAAGTTGTAAGCATCCAAGATGGGTTTGAATCCAGGATCTTCAACTCCAGAACCAGTGCTCTTTCCACTGTACCATGCTGGCTTTCTATACACTAGCTCATTTGATTATCAACAACTGTGAGGAATTTACTATTACTATCATCTCCATTTAACAGTTGAGTAAACCAAGGCACAAAGAGGTAATAAGTGGCATAGCTGGGAGCTAAACTGTAATCTTTCTGATTCCAAGACACTTCTCTTTCCCAGGGAGCAGATCTCCAACAGGGACTATTATTCTGAGGTAATGTCAAAACATAGGTAGTAAAGAAGTCTTAGTTAGATTCCTGGAGGCTTTGAAGAAGGTTAAGCCTTAGCAAGAGAAGTATGAAGGAATGAGGGTTAAAGGGCAAACCAAGTTGGCTCTCATCCCTTTAGTGTTCTTGCCAATGAAGGAGAGTTGGCACAGAACTTTGAATAATAGACTGGTGCCCAATGGGAGACTGTTGCTGGGGGGAAACACGTGATGAGTGCCAATGATCCTCAGGAAGATAAAATGATGGGTCCGTGCTTTGGCTACTTTCTGTCATATGCCACTCTTATATGATTCTGCTCTCCATTTCTGACTCTATTCTGTATCTGTAACTGGACTGTGTTCATGGGCAAAAGATTTTACTTCACATGCTGTGTGTGTGTCTATGTGTGTATGTGTGCTCAAGGCCATACGTGTGCATTCGTCCCCTGGCCAAGAGACTAGGGTAGTAAGGATGTCAGGAAGATCAATTGGAACTGATTAACTGATGGTAAAAGGACAGGAGACCAAAAGCATGTCCTGAAAACAGGAGGGAGGGCAGGCCCAGGGGGAAGCCATATGTTCAACATGATAAGTTAAAAGGTCCAACAAAACAATTAGTTTCAATCATTCTAGGACTCTAAAATCACTGGGCCTCACATCAATTCTGGCCCTACCACAGTATAATAGGGGTAAAGAAATCGCATCCCACACTTTGTGATCTTGCTTTAAAACAGGGATCCCTTAGGAGCTTTGCAAACTCAGCAGTGGTCCTACAATAAACCTTTTGAAACCTCAGTCATTCTGAGTAGGGACTGGGAAGGAAAGTCATGAGAAACCATATATGTATATATATATATCCTTGATTCCCTACTATACAAAAAAAATTTCTATGATACCTAGGACTTTCCATTTCCTCAAGCCTCACATTTCTGAAGAATGGCCCTACCCCGAAACTGTACCTCATGAGATCAACAGCATCTCCAAATTGACAGGGATTACTTCATTTTCTTGGGTAAAATTCATATGATAATTCATGGTGAAAGCAACAGCAGATGCAAGCAGCTTTTATAAAAAGAAAAAAAAGGAAACCAGACTAGGTCAAATCAATAAATATTTATTCAAAAAAAGTTTGTCCACTAGGTACACAGTACCATGATAGATGATACTGCAGATCCAATTATAAATAAGAAGCAAACCCTACCCTCAGGACCCTTATGATCTAGCTGAGGAAGAAAGCCAAAACATGTGAGATGTGAGCTATCTTTTAGATTTAAATATCAGTTCAATAAAATAGATATACAGACTTTACAGAGACGTAAAAAGGTATAAAAAGTTATATGAATAATTGCCAAAGGAATTGTATAAATGTTAAATATTATCCACAAGAGTTTAGAGGATTAGGTAGAGATCAGTGTGAGTGGGATGGTCAGGGAAAGCTTGATGACGGAGGTGGGATTTGTGCTGAGTGTTAAAGATGGAGGTCAGAAGATGCAGAAGTATATGGAAAAGGAGCAAAGATACAATTTGAAAGATGGTAAGAAATAAGTGCTATAGTCAGGTATGCTAGAATATATACCTCCCCAAAGCCAAAACTAATTTCATACTCTCTACCCTTAACAGTTTTGCAACAGGCAGCTAAGTGGTACAGTGGACAGAGTACTGGGCCTGGAGTCAGGAAAATTCATCTACCTGAGTTCAAATCTGGCCTCAGACACTTACTAGCTGTGTGACTCCAGACAAATCACATAACCCTGTTTGCCTCAGTTTCTTCATCTGTAAAGTGAGCTGGTAAAGGAAACAGCAAACCACTCCAATACCTTTCCAAAGAAAACCCCAAATGGGGTTACAAAGAGCATAACTGAACAACAACATATGATTTTATTATAACCTCCAACTTAGCCAGGTTTCATTCTCTCTCTCCTCAAATTGTTCTACAATTCTGGAGCCCCCCTTGACTCCCATCATACCTAACATATTTTACTTGTCTGTGTGTATGTAATTTTCATGCTTCTACTGCCACCAAGTAGAAGGTAGGGCAGCTATTGGTCATTTTTTATCTTTGTACCAGAAGGGACTTAGACAAAGACTTAGTGAGCTAGAAGGGTCCCTAGAGGCCACCAATCCAATGTTCTCATTTTACAGGGGAGGCATTTAATGAATGTTTGTTGAACAAACCAGATGTAGCAGAAATAGACCATAAATGTGCTTTTTCTTTTTTTTTAAAGCATACTGAAATAACTGACTTATTTTAAATCTTCCCTATGTTAAAAGATCTGTTCAGTCAGCCAGCCACTCCTTAACATTAAAGTTCAGTCTAAAAAAAGAAAGTTAGCTCCATCTAGGGCAAGAGGCTGGAATAATGAATGATGGATGAAAAGGAGGCAGCGTGGAAAAACAGAGGGAGACCACGTGAGCCAGATGGTCCAGGTTCTAGTCCCAACATGGTTACTAATTGGCTGCATGCCTTTGGGCATGTCAGTTATCCTCTATGAGCTTCAGTTTCCCTGTTTGTAAAACTAGGGGGGAAGGATAGAGTCAGCTTGGATGATCTCTGAGGTCCTTTCCAGTCCTAGCATTCAATGTTAAAGTGAAATTGGATAAAGTATGCATGCACAGTGCATTGCTAACCTTTGATCGACTTGATAGCAGGCAGTAGGGTGCTCTGTGCACTATTAACAGCAGATAATTTAGGGCTTATTCATTGTTTAAGGATTATTATATCTGGGTCTCCAGAACAAACTCAGACCACAAAATTTCAAAAGAAGATGTGATCTTAGAGAGTCAACAATCAACTCACTCACTTATGCAAGGCACTGTGATAAGAACTAGGTATACTGAGATTAGATAGTTAGATATATGAATAAACAAATAGATAAATGAATGAATAAATGAAATGTCCTCTGCCCTCAACCAGCTTAAACTCTTCTGGTGTACATGAGTATGCCAATGAGGAATTACAAAGTAATTTCACAAAGTCTCCCTATTATTCCCTCCAGGATCAAATACACAATCTTCCACAGGCTTTTAAAATCCTTCACTAGGTGGCTCCTTCCTATCTTTCAGTCTTCTTATACTTTACTCCCCTCAGTGGACAACTATGCCCTGAGACTCCGGGCCCCCTCCAATGCTCCTCTCTTCCTCCTTATCTCCACCCTCAAATCTCACCTTAAGCAAGAGGCCTTTCCCAGTCCCCACTTCCCTAGTTCCTTCCCTCTCAGATTGTCTCCCATCTATACTCTGTCTCTGTCCCTCTCTCTACATATATATGTATATATGGATATATATACATATATGTCTATATCTATAGCTATCTATTTGTATTTATTTATAGAGATGTAGATAGATAAATGGATGGATGGATCTTATGTGTACCTACTTTTTTGCATGCTGTCTCTGTAATTAAAATGTGAACTTCTTGAGGGCAGGCACCATGTTGACATTTCTTTGTATCCCCAACCCTTAGCACAGTGCCATACATAGTAGGTGCTTAATAAATGCTCATTGAATGGTGATGATGAGGAAGCAGGGAGAGAAGGCTTCAAGTAGAAGGTGGCACTTGAGCTGAGCCCTTAAGGAAGGCAAAGACTCTAAGAGGAAGTGAACAGAAGCAGGTTCATTACAAGCTTTGGGGTTGGGGAAGGAGGAGGAGACAGCCTGTGCAAAGGCAAGTATCATCTGTTCTAGATGAGGGATTCTTAATCTCCAGTCCATGAACAGACTTGAATAGAAAAAAAATCTTAATTTTCATTAACCTCTAACTGAAATTTAGCATTTCCTTCAATGATTTAAGAGCATGAACACAGGTCCACAGGCTTCACTTAACTGCTAAAGAGGCACATCACAAAGAAAGGGTTGAGAATGTTGATGCGGACCTCATCATTTCCAGATAAGAAACTTAGGCCCAGAGATGAAGCAAGTGGCCCAAGATCTTGAAGCTAGTCTGTAGATTCCTGCCTTTCAGAGAGGTCAGAACTCTTCCCTCAGCATCCCAAACAGAAAGGCTGCTTCCTTCTCCTCCTCTTCTTCCTCCTCTTCCTCAGTGTAGATGAAGCCTGAAACCATGGTGAGTGCAGGCTCCTAGGGTATAAGCGTTGCTGACACAAAGAGACCACCAACCACAGTGAAATGCAGGCAAAGATTTTCAGTTTAAAGTCTGGCCTGCAATTTCCTTAGCAGCCACAGCTTTGATAAACACAATAGGTTTACTTCCTGAATGCTGGTAGGAACTCATTTCTGGCACAGAATCAAAGTCTGCCCCAGGGGCAGAACTGGAACAATTTTTCTTTCAGAAGCCTAGTTTGGGGGCTGGCCAGGTGACATGGAACAATAAAAGGAACACTTAAACAGGAGTCCTCAGTTCGAGTCTTGATTCCATCTGTATTCATTGGGTGACCTTGGGCATACTTATTCATCTCTCTGGATCTCAGTTTCCTGATGTGTAAATCAAAGAGATTCGACTAGAACAACTCCAAGGAGATTCCAGCACTAACATTCTGTGATTTTACATGTTGCTCTCAGCTTTATTTGGAAGGTAGGGACAGAGTTTCAAGTTTCCAGTTAAATTTAATGTTGTACTCAAATTCTTAACATCCCCCTTGAAATGATACTGTTCCATCACCATTAAAGTCTAGGTCCTACCTTTTTTTTTTTTTTTCCCAGAGCCTGTCTCCCAGCTTTGCTCTTGTGGACTAAAAATAATTAGAATTTATTCTTTAACAAAGAACTTAGTAGTTTTCCAAGTGCTGTAACATCCATGTTCTCATTTGATTGGACTACTGGTATTTCCAGAGTTAGAGGGGACCTGAGAAATTACCTAGTCCTACCCCTTGCATTTTACAGATGTGGGCCAAAGGAATGAAGTGACTTAGCCAGTCACACAGCTAATTTGTAGCTGGTTTTGGCCTGGAACTCTTGGCTCCCAATAATCAACAACATTTCCACTAGAGCTATTCATCACCTGTTTCTAAACGTATCCTTAAAAGGGATCTTTTAGCATCACAGATTTGGAACTGGAAGGAATTTGGATTTAGAGTCAAGAAGACCTGGGTTTGAGTCCCCATCTTACCACTTAATAACCGGAATGACCTCGGGCAAGTCACTTAAACTATCCCTCCGTTTTCTCAACTGTAAAAATGACGGGGTCGGACTAGATGACTTCTACGATTCCTTCCAGCTCTAAGATATTCTGAATTTATGATTTCTTCAGCCCCTTTATTTTTCAGATGAGGAAACTGAAACTCATCGACTTTAAGTGATTTAACCCAAGGTCACACAGGTAGAAAGCAGCAGGATGGGAATTTTAACCCTGGTCCTTCCTTTCCAAATCCAGCTCTCTCTGCACCACAAGAATGAAAGGTGTACATGAATTAATGCTATGTGAAAAGCCGACCAGAAAGGACACACACAGTCCATGCTTACACGGATAGAATCAATTTGGCTAGATGTAAAAAGTTAGAGCTTCATACATTCAATGGATCCTTGTTTCTAATCTTGCTTCAATTACATCTAGGAGGTGCTATGTGTATTAACAAAGAGCAAACGCTTAATGCGTTGAATACAGCTGCTAATTTTAAAAAGTCACCGAATGTTAAAAAGCTGGAGGGAATTTCGGGAGACCATCTAGTACAAGCCTCTGGCATAGACCTCCCCTCTGCCTTGACCTCTCCCGGCCTCCTGCCGGGGCTCCCCCCCTCGCCGCCCCGGCCCCTTCCAGGCCACTCACTTGCGATGAGCTGCCAGGTGGTTGAAGACGTAAGTGGCGGGGATAGCGGAGAGGGACAGCACGAAGACTCCGGTGGCCGCCGAGGCGCTCATCTCCTCCGGGGCCCCTGGCCGGCCTTCACCGCATCCCGCCCCCGCCGCCGCAGAGTCCGCCTGGGCGCGGCCGCCGCCGCCCCTCGCTTCCTGCAGCGCTCCGGAGTCTCCGCTGTCGAGCGCGTCGGCTGCCTCCTCCCCTGAACTTGACCGAGCTTCCGCCGGGGCGCGCGTCTCCCCGAGGCGCCCCACCCCGCTTGTCCGCTCCGGCCCGCGAGCCGCGTCGTCCCCGACGCCCAGCTCCCGGGGCGGCTCCAGTGGCCCCGGCCAAGGGCGCACCATAAGCTCGAGGACGCTAGTTCCAGCCCCACTGGCCAGGAAAGAGACCCTCCCTCTTCTGGCTGCGAAGACAGCTGCGGAGGAGACCAAGGAGCGCAAGGCTTGGGACGGGGCGGGGCCGAGAGAAGGAGAAGGGGCCCCCATGCTGATCCTGAGCCAGCCCTAGCCCCTAGGCAGTGCCCGGTGCCCCGTGCCCTCTCCAAGGCCCTCCGGCCCCAAACCCCTGGCAGCGCCCAGCGCCCAGCGCCCCACTTTCAAATCAGTAACTCAGAGAGTTTTTGCCATTCCGGCCTTAGGAGGGAAAACACCTGAATCAAAAGCCTGGCTGGGTATGGTAGGAAGATTTTAACCTCAAACAGGCCTTGAAAGGTTAACTAGTCTAAAACTCAGTTACCAAGAATACCCAGCTGAAGACAGAATCTGAGAGGTCTAAATTAGTGGTAGACTAGAACCCAGGTTACTTGACCCCCCCCCCCCCCCATTCCAGTGTTCTTTTCACTCTAAGTACTTCAAGCAAGTTGCCTCTTAGTATCTGGCAGACTCCTACAGTTACCCCACAAAAGCTACCCACAAGTTGGCCTAAGCCGAATTGTGACACATTTGAAATTTGTTCTAGAGCCTCTCACTTCTCTTTAGTACATGACCCCCAAATCTAGAACGCTGGTTCCCTTCATGCTCTGGCACTGAAGGACTAGGCCGATTCAACCTCCTTTCCAAGGTCCTTATCTGAGCATAAGCCTCTTCACACTCTCTTGCAGTAAATTAACAAACATCCTTTCCCATCCTGTGCCCTAAATCTATCCTATCCCCATCCCTTCTACCTATCTTGGATTCTTCTAATCAATCTTTCAGAGCATTTCTAAGATGGTTACTGTGAAAATGGGTGAGGACTTGTCATCCCCTTCTAGCTCTAAATCCTATGACCTCCCTGACCTCATAGATTTTAGAGATATAAAGAACCTTTGAGATCATAGAGAGCTGGAAGAAAAAGACCTCAGATGTCATCTATTCTTATGTCCTCTTTTCACAAATGAAAAAATGAGGTCCACCATAAAAAGTGGCTTGCCCAAAGCTACACAGGTCATAAAGAACAGAGCCTTTGGTTCCTTCATCTAGCACTCTCTCCACTATACGATGCTAGTCCAATTCCTTTGTTTTACAGATGAGGAAACGGAGAACTAGAAAGCAAAAGTGATTTGCCCAAGATCATACAGATATTAAATTTTGATATTAAAGTTGGAATTCAAATCCAGGTTCTCTAATAGAATTCTTTCCTCTACATCACATCAATCTGTTTCTCTCTCTTCCCTGCACACCAATACTAGATTAACACTGCCAGTTTTCTTATAGGATCAAGCTAAAGTCAGCCTGGTATTCAAGGCCCACCACTAAGCTGGCCCTTACCTATCCAACCTCATGTTCCACTGCAACCCTAAATTTACTCTGCACTTCAGTCATTCCAATCATCCCACTGTCTCCTGCAAACCTGTATCATAATCATTCCCACTTTTCTGTCCTTAATCATTGCTGATTTCCCAGTAGGTATTGGAAAGTTATCAGCAGAGAAAACACTATGAATTATACTTCTTTGCCTATCTCAAATCCTTCAAGGAGGTCCTATTCAATTCCTATATCCTCAGTGAAAGTTTCCTAACCAGAGTGAATACTATGATAAAGTTATATACTTCCCTTTACAGCTGTGCAAATCCATAGCACTCTGGATAGTGACTGGCGGACCACCAGAGAGGACAAAGGAGAGAAAAGAGAAAAAGTTTCACTGTTTCTGGCATCTCCCCTTTTTACTGGGAATCCCAGTCCAGAAGGGAGGTCTGACTCAACTCACAGGGTAACAAAGCATTGGAGATAATAATGAAGGGCTGGACTGAATTGCCAAGTTTTCCCTATAGTGGCCAAATCCTGATCTTCATCTCAGAAGCTGAATCAAAACTGGTCTAGCCTCTAGGGATAGAAGAGCAATGTAGCATACCTCCAACCCCCATGACATGCTTCCATTCCCAAGACTTTCTGTCTCCCCATGCCCACTATTCAGAAGTATAAGGTCTGAGATACAGAAAGATCCTGTCTTTGATTTTTCACAATCTACTTTTGAAGGAAAAGTCTATATACTTTTACTTATTCTAGCCTTCTTGATGATTTTTTTTCTGTTTACTCCTTCATTCAGTGCTTTCTTATTTACCTTAATCTTATTTTCAATGCCTTAAGTGTTAGTGGTTTGTAGAGCCTAGCATTTTGCTGAATTTGAAATCAAATCAACAAATACTGAAATGCTTATAGTCGATAAGGTTTGCTGTCCCAGAGGTCTCTTAAGATAAAAGTATGTTGAATGAACAAATGAACTGAGCTACTGAATATTTGGCTAGAGAAGAACAATTGCCCCTTGTTGAATATTTTTTTAGTCTCAACTCTTCCATTAACCATTTGTGTAACTTTACCCTCTTTAGACCTCAGTATCTTCACCTGTAAAATGAAATGCCTGACCTCAATTATCTCTCAGGTCCTTTCCAGGACTAATGTTCCAGGATTCTTTGATGCCATTGCTGGCCTGCTTCCTCTCCAGGCTCACCATGCCTTGGTGACATTTCCTTTCTCCAAAGGCTATCAAGCCCCAAATCTTACTGGTTCTTGATAGAAACTAAGTAAGATGCTACAACCACATTGTCTATTTTTGCTTAACTAAAAAAGAACTAACCCAGTGATACACTACTAGGCACATACCCCAAAAAAATCAAAGAAAGAGAAAAAGGACTCATTTGTGCTAAAGAAATCACAGGAACACTTTTTGCTCTAGCAAAGAACTGGACACAAAGTGGGTGTCCATCAAGTGGGGAATGATTGAACAAATTATGGTATGTGAATATAATGAATTATTGTTGTGCCATAAGAAATAATGAAAGGAATTGGTTCAGAGAAATCTGACATGATTTATATAAATTGATACAGTGTGAAGTGAGCAGAATCAGTAGAATTATTTATACATTGACCACAGTATTGTAAAAGAAAACAACTTCAAAATACCTAAAAGCTCTGCTCAATGCAATAACCAATCACAATTCCAGGAGACTGATGATGAAACATGTATACTAGTGTTGATGAACTGTACGTACAGAATGAGACATATTTTCAGACATTACCATTGTAACACAAATTTTTTTGCTTGACTTGTACTACAAGGGAAGGCTCTTATTTGGGGAAGGGAAGAGAGAAAGTAGTTGGCTAGTGATAGTGATGCAAAAAAAAATAGAGAAAAGAGAATGAAATATTTAAAAATACTCAAAAGATCAGTAGGAATGAGCAAGACAATGTTGTTACTACACGTTTAGTTTAATATGCATATTAAAAAATAAACTGTATGTAATAGATGCATAGTTTTATATATAATCCCCATTTTCTAGCCTTTGCATATGTAAATGATTGTTATGATTTTCTAGTTCATAATTTTTAAAAAATTCAAATTAAGAAAAGACCAGCAAATTTCTTGTGCTACTAATACATTTGTATTTTAGCAACATGATAATTTTTCTGCTTTCAAATGGTTGATCTGAGATTCTTAACTTTTAACATTCTATGTCTCTAATTCTATTAATTTGTCTGTTTAGTTAATCCATTTTTTTCTCACTTAATAAAGAGAAGTTGAATTAGCTACTTCACAATAGAATATACTCTCTATCCAGGAACAGGGATGATGGTTCTACCTTTTTTTTTAAGTTTTATTGATGCTTTTGTTATGGCAAAATTATTTCCTGTCTCACTCCATTCCCAAACCCCAAATACAAACAAGTTAACTCTACTTTGTAACAAAAACATTTAGGCAAAACCAACAGATACAAGACTGTATCTGAGAACACATGCTACATTCCATATCTGAAATGCCACCACATTTTTGATAAAAGGAGGAAAATGTATCTTCAGTGCTCCTGAAATAAGATTTGTCATAATTAATCAGAGCTCTACTGCCTTTTAATGTTGTTTTCTTTTATATTATTATGGTCATTGTGCATATTGTTCTCTTGGTTTTGCTTATTTTACTCTATCAATTCATACAAGTCTTCTCATGTTTCTCTGAATTCCTCATATTAACCATTTCTTATGGGGCAATAGTATTCCATTACACTTTTCATTATGTACCTCCTATGTTCCAGGTAATGTGTGAGGCTCTGGGAATACAAAGTAAAAAAATGAAATAATTTTTACCCTCAAGGAGCTCATAATCGATTAAGGGAGACAACACATACATTTACAAGAACATACAAAATAAATATATGGTAATTCATGAAAAGGCAACACCAGCAGCTGGGGAGATAAAGAAAGACCTCATTTAGAAGGTAAAGCTTGAGATGAGCTTTGAAGGAAATTTGAGATTTTAAGAGGCAACGATGAAAAGGTAATACATTGCAGACATAAGGGAAAGCCTATGCAAAAGGTACAGAAATATGAGGTGGAGTTTTATATGACAGGAACATCAGTAAGACCAATTTTTCTGGACCATAGAATGGAGAAGAGTAACATGTCTGGAAAGGTTGGTTGGAACCAGGTTGCAAATGGCTTCAAATGCCAAGCAAAGGAGTTTATATTTGATCCTACATATAATAAGGGGCTACTGGAATACTGAGTTGGAGAATGACATGTCCTAATTTTTTTATTCCCTAATAGATAGGCAACAACTTTGTTTTCAGTTTTTTGTTGCTACCAAAAAAATGCTGCTAAGAATATTTTTATTTTTAGGGGAGATTTCCTGTTTTTGATAGCTTTGTGGTTTATACCCAGTAGTGGGATTATTGGGTCAAAGTGGATGAACAGGTTAATCAATTTTACTATATATTTCCGAATAGTTTTTCAGGAGCTGGATCAATTCACAGTTCCACCAACATTTTATTTATGCAACTGTCTTGCCACAGCCCCTCCAACATTGACTATTTCCATCTTTCTATCATCTTTGCCTCCTGGAGAGATATGAGGTGAAAGTTCAGAGTTGTTTTGATTTG